CCGGGTCCGGGACACGAACCGCGGTCGACTACGTGGGAGTCCAGCAACATAGCCATTACGCTAACTGCTGGCTCCCCAAAAATTAAATAATTCTAAAAACAAAAACAAAAACAAAAAACAAAACTTTCTTCTAAGCAAGCTGTTACCTCAGAAATTGGCTTACTGTGTAAGGAAGGACAGACCCAGTCTATATACGTGTGTAGTCACAGTTTTTCAGTTACACGTTCACTCCTGTATACATTTGTACACATTGTCATGTGCACGGCACACACTAGATCCTGGGGAGCTTCGATTTAGTGAGGGAAACACACAGCTGAGAACACAAGCAAGTGACCTACAAGGGAAGTCCACCACTGGAGAGGGGTTCAGAAAAAAGGATCCATGAGAACGTGAACTTTGAAGTGAAATTTGGAGTTCAAAGAGGAGTTAACCTCCTATAGAACAGAACAAAAGCCAAAAAAATGCAGTAAGACAATAGCATGATTCCTAACATTCCTACTCTGGAAGCCACTAAAGAAATTACAGGGCCCTTTCAGCTCTCAGCTTGGAGGTGGAGGCGGCTTCGGTGCAACTTTCTTCGGTTGTCCCAAATCCAGGTTCATCTGACACCAGCCTCCTCCACCATGCCGCCCAAGTTCAACCCCAACAAGATCAAAGTCATGTACCTGAGGTGCACCAGTGGCGAAGTCGGTGCCATGTCTGGGTGCCATGTCTGCCCTGGCCTGATTTTCAAGCTGCCAGGTCCTGGACTCAAACCACAGTTGGCCATGCGAGAGTCCAGCGCCATTACCACTACACCACTTGCTACCCCTCCCATAAATAAACTAAAAAATTCACTGAACTGGGTGGGGATAGAGGCAGCTGGATTCCACATGGACGACTGAGTAGTTCGAGTCTCAGAGCGCTGTCTCTCTCCAGGCAGCACACTCATTCTATAGCAAATAAAAACAAAAACTGTTTTTTAATGTATCAAACAAAAACTATTTTTTATGTATCAAACAAAACTATTAAAAAAATGATCGAGCTGTCTACTGTAAATTAATATTTGTTATCACATGTAAATTTTACCACAGTTCTGTTTTGTTTTGTCTAAATGAAATCAACACGTCAGACTCAAATTCGAGTTTCTGCTTTTCCTCTCCAACTTGTGCTTACCTGTGGCAGCCGGGAGCATCACCGAGGAGTAGAGACTGGAAGCTGGCAGTCCAGGCCAAGAGTAAGGCAGCTAATATGTGACAGAATGGATACCACAGAGAGGCAGACACGGAGCCCCGGTGAATTGCCTGACGATGGGCTGCATACGAGGGGTGTAAATTTCAGTGTAAAAGAAAGAAAAAAACCACCTGAGGCTTGAACAGGGCCAGCTGTGTGAGCAGTGGTTGGGCACCACACATCGGAAGCCAGACCTTACACATGGACTGAGGTTCAAGTCCAAACCCCACACATGCACGTGCCCAGGGTTGTGATGAGACGGAGAATTGAAGGAAAGAAGATTTTGGCAAGCCCAGGTCCCGGAGGGACCTCTCATCTATGGCTCTTGAGTCCAGCAGCGTCACCTGAAGTGCACAGAATAACTACTTGACACCCGAGAGGTAGAGTCAAGAGGGAGAGGCCATACCAGGTACGTGCCCCCTGAGTCTCTCTAGGCCTCTGTACTTACTAGGGCAAAGGAGGAAGAGAAGTTATTTTTAGAAAATCATAAAAGTAATGTGATTTTTAAATTATTTTATTTAACTGTATTTATTATTATTATTTTAATATTTCCAGAGAGAGAGAAAGAGAGAGAGAGAGAGAGGAAAAGAGAGAACACAAACCTCCAGGTCTGGGACTCGAACCGTACTCGCCATGTGGGAGTCCAGTGTCCTA